GAGAGGGCAGGCTAGATCTAAGGATCGCAGCCACCAGCAGCTGTACTAGAGTCCAGGCTGATCCTAGGGACCCCAGAGAAGATACTGCCCACTACTCACTTAACCCCTTTAAGCCTGTCTAACAACCCCAGACTACACCCCCTTCCCTGGGCTTGATGTCTTGGTCTACAACTTCAGAAGAAGACTTCAACTTTACCAGAGGCTATGACAGGTCTAAGGATGCCAGGTCACAAAAACCCCAGAGAGGAATACCTACTGGACCTGAAGACTTACTAGCCACCAAAATACTTGGCCGTTTAGGTCAGAAGACCAGAGAGGAAAGAGAAACCAATGAACAAAACAACCAACCAACAAAGACAAACACAAGAATCAGCACCTAGACCCATAATCATCCCAAATCCAGATGCCTAAAAGCCAGTGTAAGAAGATAACCAATAACAGAAAGGGCAATATGGCACCACCAGCGCTCAGCTATCTTACAAAAGCAAGACCTGAATAACCCAACAAAATTGAAGCACAAGTAAATGGCCTTAAAATGACTTTATGAAGATGATAGATGTCTTTAAAGAGGAAATGAAAGACAAACAAAAAATTGAGAGAAATAAATAAACCCCTAAAATAATGCAAAAAAAAAAGCCAAGAAAAAAACAAGCAGGTGAAGGAAAATGTTCAAGACCTGAAAAATAGAAATGGAAACAATAAAGAAAATACAAATGGAGGGAATCCTGGAAATGAAAATCTGGTTAAGCAAACAGGAGCTACACATGCAAGCATCCCCAACAGAATACATGACATAGAAGAGAGAATCTCAGACACTGAAGACTCAATAGAGGAAAAAGATTCATCAGTCCAAAAAATGTTAAGTACAAAAATTTCATAACACAAAACATCCAGAAAATATACGACAAAATGAAAAAATCATAAAAATACTAGGAATGGAAGAAGGAGAAAAATCATAACTCAAAAACCCAGAGAATGTATTTAACAAAATCAGAGAAGAAAATTTCCCCAACCTAAAGAAGGACATGACTATAAAGGTACAAGAAGCTTATAGAACACCAAAATAGATTAGATCAGAAAAGAAAATCCCTTGCCACATAATAATCAAAACACTAAACACATAGAACAAAGAAAAATATTAGAAGAGGCAAGTAGAAAAGGCCCATTAGTATATAAAGCAGACCTATAAGAATCACACTGACTTCTCAGAGAAACCCTAAAATCCAGAAGGACCTCGACTGATGTCTTGCAGACTCAAAGAGACTACAGACCCTGCCAAGACTTCTAGAATTCATGGGAGTATACAGCAGGTGTCAACTAGTGCTCAATAGGCCAACCTACCAGATGAGTGATTCTCTGATGGGGAGCCCCACTTAGAAAGGCTGTTGGGTCACTGACTGTGAGTGATTGTCTCTGTCTGTAATTATTCTCATGTGCCACTAAAAACAGCTGTGGGTATTCTCCCCACTGCTTGCCTGTTTATCTCATGAAAATATTTCATCTTCTGGGCACATACATAGCTGTAGCTAATCAGAAAAATGATTTCTGCCTAACTGTATAATTCTGATGAATAGAAATAACACTAGGATATTTTTTCACTACTCAGACTGACAAAGGAATGTAACAATAGTCTCAGTTACTAAGTCAGCTAATTTTAGACTTCAGAACAAACTCAAAGCAAATTGATTGCCCCTGGATATGAATATCTATCAGGTTGTCACTAGAGACAGATACACGAGATCAACTTCCCAGGTGTTTATTGCTGATTAAAGGTCATGACATGAAGCAACTTTAGTAGCATAACTTTCTCAGGCATGAACTTTCTGCATGTACTCCCAAACCTCAAGATTCAGCCAACTAACTGTTTATTGTTTAAGTCCTAAATTTCAATGTCACTTTCTGTCTGGGAACCCTGACCACTTAGAGCTACGTGCACCACCAAGAGTTATTCACTGGCTGGTCAATATGACATCCCTAGCCTGAGAGAAACTGTGTGATCACTGTCTTTGTCTCTTATTGTTTCTTATTCAAGAAGTGCTGTGTGACACTGAAATATGTGATTCATGTTGTTCCAGAAGTTTTGGCTGTGAAGAGAAGCAGGAGAGTGAAGGAGAAGTAGGAGAGCCATGTGATGGAGATGTGTTAAGGGGAGAGAAGTATGAAAGATGGGAAGAGAAGTGTTATATAGCTGTACGTAAAGAGATGTAGCTGTGTGGAGACAGATTTTCAGAAAGAGATTTTTTTTCAAGGTGAAGTAAAAGAGAAAGTTACCATCAGGAAAGCATGTGCGTGTTATTTTTATTTACCATTCAGATAGAAAAGTGTGACCCTTGCTGAATTCATGGACTTTTTTGTATACCCTGGAGGCAGCCTTGGAGAAAGCTCTCCAAAATGCCACTGGTACTACATCCAGCAAAACTATCAATCAAAATAGATGGAGAAAACAAGATATTTCATGGGAAAGTATAATAACCTACATTTGGGGTATCATCAGTAGGATCCAGCAAAACTGTCCAGCTTGTACCTGAGAGGGGAAGTGTAGACTGAGGAAAGAAATATGTACTAACTCATAAGAGGTTATTAACTGTAAAATAAAGGATAACTATGCTACCATTATAGACCCATAGATACTTGGTAACAAGGAGGATTCTTGGGGGTGGCATTGCCTGGATCTTCATAGGAAGGTAAAGTAGAAGAGAATTCCTGAATGGTCTGTGGGTGGATGGAGATGGGAGCATGAGCCATCGTGTTGTGGGGGGAAAGGGCAAGAGTACTGAAAGAGACTATTGGAATGGGGGCATTTTAGTGTCAGATAGAAACCAGGAACGAGGGAATTTCCCAGGAATATACAAGGATGACCCCAGATAAGCCTCCCAGCAATAGTGGAATATAACCTGAATGAACTGGCCATCTCCTGTGACTAGGCAAGAATTCAAGTAGAGGGGATGGGAAACCAATCCAGCCACTTTTTATCTGTAGTCTATCTATGAATTTCTGTTTTCAGTGGAGAGAGTGCCTACGGTAGAAATAGGCTTTATTCTGTTGATCTGGGGAATTTAATTCTTTGCTTGAACAGAACAATTAAAGAAACAGTTAATGTCAGCTGATGAGAGTTTTTGAATATTTTGGGAGCTTCCTTAAAGGGACCTAGTTCTGTCTGCTGTGGGCATTATAAAGAAAGTCATACACTATTGGATGACTTCTGTGTACTAGAAGCTAAGATTTGATGACAGAATAAATTCTAGCTGCCTACAATATTGAACACAGTTACTGTTGCATGAATAATAAAAATGCAGAGACAGATATCTTGGTTTAAACTGAGGATCAGAGAAGCAAAGCAGCCAGCCACTAGAGGGCTCTCACCTCTACCAATGCTCAGACGGAAGGGGCCATCCACTGAATCTCAGATTACATTTCTAGACTGCACTGCTTTTCACCAAGCCTCAGAATCCTAGACTGCCCTCTGAGACTGCACTGAGATCCTTATATTCTCTCTAGTACTAAGATCAGAGGAGTGAACTCTGTTTCTCTTTTAGAATGATTCACTCTCATGTAGCCAAGGGTGGCCTTGAACCCACAGAGATCAATCTGCATCACTCTCCTGAGTCCTGGGATTAAAGGTGTGTGCCACCACTGCCCAGCTTCTATGGCTGTAGCTAGCTTTGCAGTCAACTCCTGGTGGGGATGGGCAGTCACTAGAGAGTCCTTAGACTGGCATTCTTGGTAGAGCTCAACAGTGAGGCCTTAGGAAAATGCTATGCAGGTATGAGATTTGCAAATGCACATTTAAAATTCTGATAGAATGTATACATGTATACAGAATGGATAGCAATAATCATTCCTGGATTTTCCTGAGGACTGTACTGTCCTGTTTTTCATTTTCTGTGAAATTCTTTAGTGGGCTAAAGGAAGCTGCTCAGTTTTGTTAATAGTCAAGTATTACTGCTCTAATTATTTATGTTCAGATATTCAGGTGTAATTCTGAGGACACTCCAAAATTGAGAATTTCTTGGTTTTCAAAAACACAAAGCATTGAAATTCTTGAAGATATCCTCCCATATTTTATTTGGAACAATTTTTATTGTTAAATGAAAGAAAACCAACTATAGACCCCACTGAAACACATTGGTTGTTTTACTGTAACACAATTCTTCCACCAGACCAGAGTTTTTGGAGTTCATTAGATCAGATTCTATTACTCCATCAGATTCTAATCCCTTATGGACCTCTATTTCCAGCTTTCACCACGGTGAAGTTTTCTTGAGACTTTAGCTCGGAAACCCAGGGTTTTTACTGCTTTCGTTGTTAACACTATTCCCTCAGCTGTAATTCTTCCTCTCTTAGTTCAATGGGTAATCTCTAGTCTGAGCTGGACTTGTTGCACAGACATGGGCTGATTTCCAGACTCAGGCAGAGTCTATTCCCTCTGTGAATTTTGTAATTTATCCCCCAGTTCATTGTCCTTTGCTTTCCTGATTTCTCTTTTTTACCATGTATGCTTCACCAGTTATAAACCATCTCATTCTGCATGCTGTGTTCATGGGCACCTGTTGTTGTTGCTGTTTAATGTATCATAAGATCTGCCCTAATTCCTAATTAGTAATTAGAATGTATTATGTCCTTTCTCTGCTTGCACATATGAACTTTGTGTTCAGGCTGGGGATGTTCCAGCTTCCTTATCTCTTATTTTATTCATTCTCCCACTTCTCATTTAAAATGAGAAACATTTTAAGTCTCTCTCCTGACAGTTAACCATAGTATCTCCCACTCCTTTCTGAGCATGTAAGGTTATTCCTATTTCACCAAGGAATAGACGTGAAAAGGAACACTTTTTAAACCCCCTTCATAAAAAAGCTAGTGTCTACATTCATTGTCTTGCATTTTCTTTTCTCTTTGGTTTTTATAAGGTAGTAGTTTTAAGATTTGCCTCCACATGACAGTGTATAAATGTACCCCTGTCTGGGCTGAGAAATTTGTTTATAAACACGAGATGTCGAAGATGATATTTTCAATATTTTTAATAAGGCTGATACAACAGCCTTTATACAACACAGTTTTCATAAGTTATCAAGATACAACTTGTGTACAGTCACAGACATGTTTTTACATAGAGTAAAACTCAAGACAGTTTTACAAGCATTTTGTTCTACACAATTCTCATGTATTTTCAGGTCAGTTGATACAATCAATAGCCCAAGAATTTGCATTTATTCATTAAATTTTTCAGTGTTAGGTAAACAAAACATAATAAAAAGATTAGCAAATCACCAAGAAAGCATGCAACATATGGTCAGAAACGAGACATATCTCCAAGTACTTCATGGTTTATTGGAAATAAATTTTATTAGGTTTTAAACTTTTCTTAGACAAGAAACACCTTTCTAAACAGATGTGTTGTTAAGATATTAGCACACACATTAGTCAGTATGGAAGCACCTGAGCACATCACTGAACACGGATACAGACACAGTCAAATGATAATCACAGTCACATGCTGACTTCCAAAGGATGAGATTAGTTCAACAGCTACTATGTTACCAAACATCTAGTTATATACAGGGAAACAGATCCCGAAAATGCTCTCAGTCTGCCTATCAGATAAAGAACTTGATTAAATGATATTTATTTAATGTGTATCTTTAATAATAGCCACATAAGACATACAGAAAACATCAATGTCACATTCAATGAGAATATAAGTTTTGCTCACTCTTGTGTTACACTAAAGGTAAATAGCTATTAAGGGGAAACTTCTGGTAATTCATTGAGCTTTCACTTTCATTTCAAACTCAAAAGGAGGGAAAGTCTCTTCTGTCATACATACATTTATAAACACATGTAGCTATAGTTGGCTAAGTTTGGACTATTTGACATTATAGCAATTAAAATAAGTTTTTAAAAATATTGTTAGTTATGATTTAAATAATAAAGTAAAAAAATACTATAAACATCTTTATGGTATTTTAATTAAATGAAGCACTGATTAAATCATTTCTAATAAATTGGGCACAATATAGTAACAAATAATTTATTTTACTTCATATCACTGCCTCCACTATTGTTACTATGGCTACCACCAACATTATAACAGCCATTCTATAATGAGAATCAATATCAGCTGGTTACCAGCTATAATATTCCTAAGATACAATTACTCTAGTGTGTGTGATTTCCCAAATCAACCTCATAGATATGCAGAGAATGTACATTTAATGGTTGTGAATTACTAAAATGTGAACAATATTAAGGATCAAGGGCAATCGCTATCTTTTCATGTTTAGTATTGTTCTTTTAAACAGAAATGATAATCAAATGACCTCAGAGTCATGAAAGTTTTTCTTAAAATTAAGTAAAATTAGAGAAAATACCAATTTCTTGCTACTAGTGTTATCTGAATCTGTAGTAATGATTCTATAACTCCTCATCTTTTATAAAAAATTCAATCTGTGCTTTTTCTTCTCCAGTTGAAAGATTCCTTGGTACTGATTTTTAAACCAACAACCAACTTCCATTCTGACTGCTCAGTGGACTAGTAGGGAAAAGGAAACACTTCTCAAGGTGTAAATGCTGCAAGAATATTAACAACCTAGTGATTACAGACTATAAACTTTGTTACTGTTAAGATAGAAAAGCTAATTCTAATAACATAACATAAAATAAAAAAATGGAAAATCATATGTTGTGTTGTTTACAAAAAAGTAAAAAACACTAAGAGCCCTATTTGCAATTAAAAAAGAAATAGTTTTGTTGTGAGAAGGGCAGTTGGCTTCCCTCAGAAATGCATTCGGATAAGAATTGGTGTTGCATAGAGCAATTCCAGTTACAACCTGGGAGCTTGGTCAGCTGCAAACTTGCACATTGGCAGGATCTTTTTCTTTCTCAAGGGGAATGCTGGTGCATGATAAGAAGCTCTGTCGCTGACCCTCTTGACTGATCTGATTGATCTAGCCCTATTGCTACTTCCTTGGAATGGAGGGGCAGCTGCATTAGAAAGGCTTCCATTATTTCAGGCTTAAGAGCTACTCTTGATGATCTTGCTCCGGTGGTCTCTCTGATTGTGTAAGTTGTAACTAGAATGGAGTTAGCTACCTGGCTATATCACTTTTCATGAAGCCCTTGGAGTACCAGAGACTGTAGAACAGGGTAAGAGATGAACCATCGTTGCCTGTGAAGAACAAATAGCAGAGCCTTTGATGTCACAAAATCCTCTTAGACCCCTTTCCTCTGATTATAGGCTTCCTCAAGTACGAATGTCTGCTGGAAATATCCATGGCAACCACCAACAGATCTAGTAGTCTCTAAAAATAAAATGTTAGCAATATTCTATCTTTGAAAACTCTCATCTCCCAGGTTCACTTTGAAAGGCTACCAGCGGTAGATGCTATTGCATTGTGAGGGGAGAACAGACGGAAATGGAGGGAGGAGGGAGCTGGTATTTTAGGACAAAGAAAAATGAACTTGTATGTTTTTCAATGAGAATGAGATATATAATTTGGCATATACCAGAAACTTTTTACTTCTAGGGTTTTCCATTGCCTTTAAATTTAATACTTTTCTCTAAAAATGAGAAAATTCAATATCCAACCAATATTTTTGAGATGATTTACTATAATCCCACTAAAGCACTCTCTTAAATAAAATAACAATTTCTGGATTCAAATACTCCGCAAAGCAATTTGGTTTATTTTGGGTAGGATGTGGTAATGGGATAAGAGTTATGGATGTCAGTAAATTTTTTTATGACAAATCATTTTTATTTAATCATCTATCATTTTCAGGTTAAACTGGAGTTTATATTTAAATAAAAATGAGCTGTGGAACAATTTACTGTTCTTATCCATGCTGATGCTTATCATTGGTTGGAAATTGTTTCTCACATATAAAATTCGAGTGTTAAAAGGCTACACAATAATTATCTCTCAGTTTGTATGTAAAGCAATATTTAGAAATGTGCTTTCCTGGTTCACAGATCTTTTTATTTCAGCATCCTGGCATCCCGGGAGAAGGATAGGAAAACACTATTACTTAGGGGGAAAGTGAATGTAACCTGCATTTGTGAGGTGATATGTGTAAGTTCAGTAACAAAGTCAGGACCAGAAGCCAGGACTTCAGAGCCAGCTGAGTGCATTTCCCACAATTCCGTGTTACTTTCTTTATTGACATTGGTCGTTGACAGGGAGAGAATGCTTCATTTTAATGATTCACACATTGGTTGTTTGGTTTTACATTATTAAAATAGATCAAATATGTTTTAATTTCAAACATTGACCTTTCTCAACCTTTTCCAACACTAGCTTTCTAATGATGATGTTATCACCAACAAGAAAGCAGAATAGGAGAAAGGACTTGAGGTTGATGTCAGGGTGTTCATTATATAATCACTGAGTTTAGAGAAAAACCACAGAAAAATCAGAAAGTGACAACAGTTTAATCAATGTCATAAGATAAACATGATTTGTTTGCCAGAACAATAGTTTTGTGTCTCTGACAATACATTATTCAAGAGAAAGGAAATATGTAGAATGATATACGTAATGGAAGTTCCCCAATGAACAAGCAAACCTCTTTGCAGGACACACCAGTTAATCAAGATGCCTTGATGTGTACAGTTGAGAATGCCATGACTTAATACAATATTATGGAGATTGTAATGTTTTCAACCAAGGTACCTATTTCGTAGGTCAGCATTCTTCTTTAATATCCAGTCACTAGTTTTTGTTTTATTTCTAGATAAATACAATTTAATTTGAATCTACTATTATCTTCACTCTTCACTATTTTAAATTACACCAAAAACAGATGTGCTTTGGCCACACAGAATTCAGACCTACTGCTGTATAGCTCTCTAATGTAGACACAGGGAAAACATGCACAGTTCATTCTAAAATCCACTGTCATAAATCTTGCTTAATTTTCCCCATAAATACAGTCACCTTCTAGTCCAGTAGACAATTCATAGATGAATCTTATGTCGGAATCCCGAAGCAGGACATTTTATGAGAATATAAGATAAGGAGTCTTGAACTTTTCAAGACTAAGATTCACTACACCAGTCCTTTCCTGCAAGGTATCTGTGAGTATAAACAGCTGCTTTCACACTACCTTGGGCCGCCATAAAAACCTTTGTGCCTTTTTCATCAGTTCCAGCTCAGTCTGCTCCAAGACTTCTACCTTAAAAAAAGAAAATCTCCTTTCCAGTTTCTCTTCACAGCTTTGAGTAATCCAGTGTCTGGTGCTTTCAACACGTGAGCTTTTTGAGTCATTGCGTATTCCACAACAATGCAATCTGTTTGCTTCTTATTTCCTATGCCATGTTTACTCCTGAAGACATAGATCAGCACAGTAGTATTCACCTACAGTCTCTATCTGAGGCCATAGAGCTCTGTTTCCTCACCTGAGCAGACACATCTTCAATGTGTTTGAGTAGGACTGACCAAAAGTTTGTGCCAATTGACTATTCTTTTTCTCAGGTCCACTTTGTCAAGCCAGATACAGGCTTCTCCAATCAAAGTCTTCTTCATAAACTTCCCTCCATTGGAGAAAAGTAAAATCTAGAAAACAAAGTCAGAATTACATATGTATAGATACAAATATATTCATTTTTCAACTTTTCAAGGATTTTACCATAAAAAAATAACAAGGAAGAGAGCGAGATGTGAGGATGTAGTACATGTACTTGAGAGAAGAAGAGATATTATTAAAATACCTATAAATACAAATCAGTCTAGATCCATACTTCTTTCATTCCCCCCTAAATTTTGTTTTATCCCCAAACCACATACTTTGAAGGATAGGCAAATATGACACATAGAGGGGAAAGATGATTCTAGTTAGATATGCAGTGTCTGGAGTATTCAATAAGTAGAAAAGTGACAAGGAACTGAGACTACTTCAATATAACTTGCAGTAGTCAACAAACATTATGCAGTGAGCCTTCAGATGTTAAAGCAGAAGGTTGACGCACCAGAATGAATGCGTTCTGATGGACATAAACCTAGTGGCAAGATGCTGGGCCCTCCACCTTTTGTTTAACAGCTGTTCCTACAGCATATCTCTTGTGAAGCCAAAAGCACTCTCTTACAGTGCAAGATTCAGCAGTGTACAGATTATTGGGAACATTTTCCCATGTACTGGTATGTTGGGTCACTTCCCCCCAATCTGTGGGAACTCCAGTGGTGAGAAATTTAGTCACACAGTCAATAACCTAGGTTTCCACAGTCTAATCTCTATTTTGTTCCCTGAGATAAACTTAGAAGCCAGATCCCTGCAATTATCTTCCATTAGACAGGACATTTGGTCAGGAGAGGAGTCCTTCATATGGATCACAAACAGGACCTTCAAAATAGAGGTGGCATGTCCCAGCTTGTTTCATTCTTAGTCTTTCCTGATAAGGAGATTGGGTGCCCTAAATACTCTCACAGCTGATTTGGCAAAGTGCTAAGTATAGTTAACCCCTGCTCTACCCTAAAAAAGCTGTTAATTCTCTACACCTGACATCACCTTGGTTTATTGATGCAGGATTGTTACCTAGGAATGTAGCGTCATGCGCCTGCTCCCACTCTGCCGTCTTAGAGTTAACGCCTCCTAAATCACCCTTTTTGCCTCAGTGCTGCCTGGGCATCTTTCTAGCCACACCTCCTGGGGGGGGGTGCAAAGATGCCGACAGCATCACTTGGGATAAACTCTTATCTGCTTTTGACCTTGAGAAATTCAAGCTAGGAGAATTGCACTTGTTTGTGTGTGGATACGCTGGAAACTTTGCTGAGCACAGGGGGAGAGCAAGGAAACTGATGCGGAAAAGTATGTAGTGGAGAATTTATTTTGTCCTCAGATATTTTTCTAAATCCTGTGCTTTCTGTAAGCTTTCTCTCTGAACCCTGATAGGTCTGAGGAGGGGCTGGTACCCCAAAGACCTATATAATTAAAGCTCACTTTGGAGGAGTTTGAATGATGCAAGAAAATGATGTTTTCCTGAGCAGCTTCAATGGAAACCAAACAGTGTTTAGTAAAGATAACTCTGGCAGCAGTGTGATGAAATTAAAGAGATGAGACCACAGTGAGAAATCAACTAGGTGAATTACCAAAATTCCGTAAATAACAGATAAAAGAGCTGACAAGCATTAGTGAGAGTGACCATGGAACAAAAGAAATCTTTGCTAGAGTAGCAAAGAAACAGAGTGTAGAATTGGTAGATGATTGGATAGAGCGAATGAGCTAAGAGCATCCAAGGGACTTCCGGGGTGATCTTTCTAATGGTTAACTACTATCTAGCATATGTTCAGTATATAAACATTGAATAATTTATATGATACACTTACCTGAAGAGAATGGCCCGCAGGACTTAGGCTAAATCTAAAAGTTTCATTAAAGGAAGGCTCTCGGTCATGTCTGCATACCCTTGTTTTCTTCTTGATAACCTTCTTTTGAGTAGAGATGTTTATCACATATATTTTCACATATAAATCTGAAAATAAAAAGGAAACTCATTAACTGTCAATCAATCAATCAATCAATCATGGCAATGCATGTCGATGTTCTCCTTATACTCTATACAAGCACAGAAATTGTAAGCCATTTCTTGCAGAAAGCATAAATTATAATTTATGTGATTATAATCATACAGTTTTCTTAGAAATTTAAGTTAATTTTACTGTTGTTTATTAAATGTAGCACGCTATTTTATATGCTGGAAAAATTTTCCAGCTGAAGACTAGGAAATTAAATTCTCTTTCCACATGTTTTCTAATGTATTTCAGACACAGGTAAAAATTTAGCAAGAGTTTCTTAGAATGTTTAAGACATGGTCCTATATCTTTCATTGATTATTACCATGAAACTAGATACCTGGTAAATGATCCGGAGACTTAAATTTGTAGGTGATATTTCTGCACTGGAGAATTTCAACTATTAGTTGTTCACCGTCTGTCTTCATTTCCTTTTTCAATGCTAGCTTGATTTCACCCATTACTTGAGTTTTTGCTAGAAGAATTTAACAAAAACAAGTTGACAAATAATCAGCTCTCCTTTTTGAATGCTTAGCTTAATCACTTTCATATGTTCACTTACTGGATGTTTTCTCAAGTGTTAAACACCTTATGTGCTATGGATATAGGGCACAGTCCAGACCCTTAAGGAGTAAATAGCTTTGTAGGATCACATCATTCAGATACTTATAACAAAGCATGCTAGATATGATGATAGCCTAGTAACCAGGAAGATAAAAGAAACTGTAAGTAGATGTATCACTCAGCTGTACAGTCTTAGGCTTGAAGAGGTAATTGATGACCTTGTAGGAAGGAAGAAAAACATGGAAATTACAAAATCCTAATACAATATATAGGGAGTAAAATGTCTTTTAAGATGTAGTATGTTGTTTTCCAACCATTGTGTATTACCAGGCTTGCTCAAGCATACACTGTAGCATAATCAGATCTCACTGTACAGAGTTTCCATTTAATGTAGTAATGCATAGTGATAAGATTGTACAAGTGATCTAAACTAGATTCATTTTAGTTTCAATTTAGTTTCATATGGTGTTCTATCTTTTTTTAATTGAAAGGAACATTCCATGCCACATCAAATCTGTTATTAATCTACCAATTTCTCTATTAATTCATGGACTCATTCACCAACTCATAATTTGTTCACTAGTCTACTTTGGGATGAACGCCCTGTTAACTGAATGAATACAGTATGCATAAAATGTCCAAGCATCGCTGGGCGGTGGTGGTGCATGCCTTTAATCCCAGCACTGGGGAGGCAGAGGCAGGTGGATCTCTGTGAGTTCGAGGCCAGCCTGGTCTACAAGAGCTAGATCCAGGACACCTCCAAAGCCACAGAGAAACCCTGTCTCGGAAAAAAAAATGTCCAAGCATGAATGCAAGCTTACTTTTAAATTAGAATCTTGTATTTCTAATGCTGATAGATAGAAGCTACACAATCAAGACTCTCCTGACTCTTAACAGTACAAACATAGCCTGAAAACAAATATTTGAGAACATGTTGTTGACAGCTGTGCTTAAAATAAAATATAAACTTAGACATTTTAAATAATCACTCATCTAAGCTCACAGGATTTTTCACCTATTGGGAAGAGATATTTTAATGAGATATTTCCATGGATAAATAAATAACTAGGAAGAAAAATTCTGAAGTATATAGTGACACGGATTCAAAGAGAATGAGACATAAGACCTCTTCCTGGGAAGAGCTAGAGCTGGGAGTAGCATGAAGATGAGATGAGCATGAACTGAGAGTAGCATGAACTGAGATGCAAGGGCAAAGGAATTCTTCTGGAGAGAAGGAACACCATGTTAGTGAATAGGAATATTGTGTGGTAAATTCAGGCCTGAAGACTGCTGGGCACTGTTCACTGGGACCACATTAACATGTTTATTTACATATTCAGAGCACAGGCATGTATTGAAAGCTTTTAAATACAGCTGCCAACAATGTATTCTCAAACATTTGTTTTCAGGATAGATATTTATACTTTAAAAATCAGAGGGGCCTTGTTTGTGTTGATTATATCTATCAGCATTAGACTTTTAAAATTCTAATTAAAAATGAAATATAAAGTTGGGCATTTTAAATAATCTTTCATCCAGCTTGAATGAAAACAGCATATTTATAAGTAATAAAGGAATAGTTTTGTGAACTTTTCAAATTTTGAAAGCTTAGCTTGACAACAAATATAACCTCATAAATTTACATTAATTTCACTGTGACGTAGTATTTTCCCAGAAGCGTATGCAGTTCATTCAGGGTTGGAAATAGGAAATATGTTTTGCCATCCCTTTTGGACAATTGTCAATAATCTTGATATTATACCAAGACTTAACTAGATGTATTTCCTTAAAGGTTATGGCAAAGTAAGATCAGAGGAAAATGGGCACTCCTAAAATTCCAATTTAATATAAAATAACGATCAGAAAACTGTGAAATTACTTTAGTAATGGTATCACCAAGAGGTTAAAAAGTGGTTAAATTTCTAATTTCAAAAGCTAGAAAAAAAAGCAAAAACAAAACAAACAAAAAAACTAGGGTGTTTGAGGAAAGAAATAATAGAAGATAAAAATAAAAATTTGTGAGGCAGAAAATTAAACAGATTAATAGATAACATTAACATATCAAAATTCTGGGACTTTGAAAAATAGTAGTACTATAGAAAGGTAATAGTGAATTAGTCTATGGCTTGTGGGCGTTAAGTATGGCATTTTAAAGTTCTGTGCCATAAATAAATTTTAGTGTCATTATTACATTCTAATACTGTTTGGCTTATATTTTCTTCACAGTTTATTGCAGAAAAGAAACCATAAGTCACATCCAATATATTTACTTGAACTTGAGTGAGCCAGAATTCAGTTTTGGTTAGTTAACTTATTTCTGAAACATATCCTCCTATATAGCTCATCCTGGCTTAGAACTTGTGACCCTTCTTTTCTGAAGCATTGTAATTTCAAGCATGACACATTGTGCCTGGTATGTTCTTTGGACACTTAAAATGAGAATGAATTTGATACCAAGCCTGATAATTTATGTTTAATCTCCAGAAACCACAGGGCAGAATGAGAGAATTCCCACAAGTTGTCTTCTGACCTCTCCACACATACTGTGACTCATCCCCCATTCAGTAAATAAATGTGTAAAACAGAGGGTGCCTAGTCTTACTATATCTTGTTATATGCAGTGTTCATTCAACATCCCTTGGGAGGCCTGCTCTTTTCTGAAGGGAAAATGGAAGGAGAGTGGATTTGGGGGAGGCAGGGGAGAGGAGAGACTAGGATGAATAGAGGGAGGCCAGTCTGCAGTGAGGATTATTGAAAAAAAAACAAAAAACAAAATACTATAACAAAACTTTTTAAAAGAATGAAAAATCTGTTCCAGTCTATCTGATCTTTTAGAATGCCTTTCTAAGGAAAGAAAAAAAAATCCAATGTAAAAATGAAAAAAAAATGGACAACATTTAGAAAAGCAATCTTTAACATCAGAAAAATTAAAAAAAAATACTTAGTAAAGTATTAAGCAACCAAGCAACCTAGCAAACAAGCAAGGAAAATGCTACAGTCAGTCTTCTATCAGAGAACCTAAAAGCAGTTATTTAGAGATAGAAAAATGGATCCCAGCAAAGCACAGCTCTGCAGTGTCCCTGACTGTGACACACATTGTAGAAGTTTACAAGGAAAAGAGAGAACTGGCCAATACTAGAAGATTGAGGACCTCAGCCCTGAGTGGATGAGCAGTGAGCTCACATGCAGTCCTTGGAAACCTTGATAACTTTGAACTGGCAGCCTTACTTCATTACCATGGGTTCTCTGAGCCTTAGCAGTCTTAGCAGCCAGATGAAACAGCCATGGTGCCCTGAAGCTGAAGCTCTAATGTCATGCCCAAGGAATTCACAGAGCATACAGTATCTCTTCAGAGTATGGAGACATTTCTATGTTTGGTGGATTGAACACTTTGACTGAATCTCAAAAGAGGAAGTGAACCCAAACCAAAATAGTTGGGTAAACTGGTTATCAAATGACTGGATCCCTGTCTCCCAAACTACAGAAAGACACGCAGACGCCCTCCATTTACCCAACCATTCTTGAGATGAAGGGAGGGGAATTCTGTTGTTTTGTTTTTGTTTGTTTTATAAGCAGTATAAGTGTGTGTGTGTGTGAACTCTACAAAATATTAGACTTTATTGTGACATTTTTCACACATACATAAAATGTAACTGGATCATATTCACCTCCCATGATCCTCTGTTTGCCCTCTGCCCCTTCCCCGACTCCCTCTCTTGGAAAGAGAATTCTCATTGAAAAGTAAGTAGCAGAGGAAATCAGTCACTATTTGGAGCCAATGAAGTGGACATAAATGATAGCATTAAGCTTACTGAAGCATTTTCCCCTTTTTCTATCTCTAAATACACTTTTATAGGTCAAAGTCCCCTTTTCTAGAACCAGACTCCATCCAATTATCTGTTGCCTCCTACCTTCTCACTTGTGCGGAAGGTAGATCAAAAACTTGTTAATTAAAGTTCCCAAGTCTTCACACTGTCTGCTTCCTTCTGGGGAGTTTAACCTCACCTCCTTCACTGTGTGATGTTTGTGAAGCTTTTGCTAAATTTCACTCTGCTCAAAGATCTTTGCAGCTTGTTCTTTAATATTGCTAACTGAAGGATGCGTTTACTGAAGTTATCTTAAAGCACCTTTTTGAGTGATTTTGGCTTCTGAAGCCAACTTTTGTGTGAAGATGAAAAGAAATCTGTGTGTCTGCTGCCTTCACAGGGTGGGCACTGGCTCCAGATCTGGGTAAAATACCACATACGCAGAGGACGTGTGATAATATTTTGGAGTGAGGGATAAATGGCAGTAGAAAAAATTTCCAACAGTGTCTGTGTCTTGATGTCTTGAAATCCATGCTTTCCTCTTTGTTTATATAAAAGAACAACATTTTAAAGCTAGGAGTATAAGTTGAATATTTTCTGTACAATGAAATGGTAAATATTCGAGGCAATAGGTCTGATTAATCTGATTTGTATGCCACATAATATATATATGATTTGGATCATCATATGGTATCATAAAAATATGTATAATTGTAAATGTCAATTTACAAAAACTAATATAATATTACTAAAAAAAGAAATACATTTATTCTGCAATGTAGCACAAACCTAGAACTTAGAAAGAAAGAGAATCAAGCAGATATTGTGGCACATGCCTATACACCCTGCATTTGGGAGGTACAGACAAGAGGAAGGCTCAAGAGTTCAAAGCCAGCCTCAGCTACACAGTGAGTTCAGGCCCACCTGGTACACATGAGGCCCTCTCAGAAACAAAGAAGATAGAGAGACATAAAGTGTATGTTTCAAAATAAAATGACCAAGTAATATTTGAAGTGAAAATGAAAAATGAGAGTTGTACCCATCATCTCAATTTGAAAGTATTAATGAATAAGAAATATCTGGAAACAAAACTAAATAAGATTAA